GTTAAAGAACATCGTATTAAAGAATGAGTGGGTCAATCATGAAATTAAAGAACTTTAAAAATACATGAAACCAAATAAAAATGAAAACACAATTGTTCAAACCCTTTGGGATGCAGCAAAGGCAGTCCTAAGAGGAAAATAAAAGGCAATCCAAGCCAATCTCAAGAAACAAGAAAAATCCCAAATACAGAACCTAACATCACACCTACAGGAACTAGAAAGAGCAGCAAAGAAACTCCAAAGCCAGCAGAAGAAGAGAAATAATAAGGATTAGAGCAGAAATAAACAGTACAGAATAAAAAAACAAACAAACAAAAAACCAATAGAACAGATCAATGAATCTAAGAGCTATTTTTTTTGAAAACTAAACAAAATTGATAAACCTCTAACCAGACTTCTCAAAAAGAAAAGAGAGAACCCAAATAGATAAAATTATGAATGAAACAGGAGAGATCACAACCAACACCACAGAAATACAATTCTTAGAGAAAACTATGGAAAAATTACATAGTTTTTTTATGTAAATAAACTGGATAACCTAGAAGAAATGGACAAATTCCTAGACACCCACACACTAACAAAACTCAAATGGGAAAAAATAGAAAACTTGAATAGACCCACAACTAGTGAAGAAATTATTGGTTATCAAAAATCTCCCAACAAATAAGAGTCTGGAGCCAGATGGCTTCCCAAGGGAATTCTACCAGACATTTAAAGCAGAGGTAGTACCTATTCTTCTCAAGCTGTTCCAAAAAAAGAGAAATGAAGGGAACTTCTGGACTCATTCTATGAAGCCAGAATTACTGTTATACCCAAACCAGACAAAGACCCCACTAAAAAGGAGAATTACAGGACAATATCTCTGATGAACATGGATGCGAAAATTCTCAACAAGATACTAGCAAATCTAATTCAACATATTAAAAGAACATTCATCATGATCAAGTGGGATTCATTCCTGGACTGCAGGCCTGGTTCAGTATTCACAAATCAATCAATGTGATACATCACATTAACAAAAGAAAAGAACCATATGATCCTGTCAATAGATGCAGAAAAAGCATTTGATAAAATACAGCATCCTTTCTTAATAAAAATTCTCAAGAAAGTTGGGATAGAAGGAACATAACATCATAAAAGCTATATATGAAAAGCTCGCAGCTATTATCATCCTCAATGGGGAAAAACTGAGACCTTTTACCTGAGATCAGGAACATGACAGGGATGTCCACTCTCACCACTGTTGTTCAACATAGTGTTAGAAGGCCTGGCCTCAGCAAACAGACAACAAAATGAAACAAAATGCAACCAAATTGGCAAAGAAGAAGTCAAACTTTCACTTTTTGCAGATAACATGATACTCTACATGGAAAACCCAAAAGACTCCACCAAAAAACTATTAGTACTGATACATGAATTCAGCAAAGTCGGAAGACATAAAATTAATGTACAGGAATCAGTTGCATTTTTATACATCAATAATGAAGCAACAGAAAGACAAATAAAGAAACTGATCCCATTTACAAGTGCACCAAGAACCATAAAATGCTTAGGAATAAATCTAAACACAGAGGTAAAAGATCTGTATGCTGAAAACAATAGAAAGCTTATGAAAGAAATTGAAGACAACACAAAGAAATGGAAAAACATTCCATGCTCATGGATTGGAAGAACAAATATTGTTAAAATGTCAGTACTACCCAAAGCAATCTACACATTCAATGCAATCCCAATAAAAATTGCACTGGAATTCTTCACAAAGCTAGAACAAACAATCCTAAAATTTGTATGGAACCACAAAAGACCCTGAATGCCCAAAGTAATATTGAAGAAGAAAACCAAAACAAGAGGCATCACAATCCCAGACTTCAGCCTCTACTACAAAGCTGTAATCATCAAGAAAGTATGGTATTGGCACAAAAACAGACACACAGACCAATGGAATAGAATAAACAGAAATGGACACACAGAAGTATGGCCAACTAACCTTTAACAAAGTAGGAAAGAGTATGCAATGGAAAAAAGACAGACTCTTTAGCAAATGGTGCTGGGAGAACTGGGCAGCAACATGCAGAAGAATGAAACTGGACCACTGTCTTACACCATACACAAAAATAAATTCAAAATGGATTAAAGACCTAAATTTGAGACAGGAAATCATCAAAATCCTAGAAGAGAAATCAGGCAACAAGCTCTTTGGCCTCAGCCACAGTAACTTCTTATGTGACATGTCTCCAGAGGCGAGGGAGTTAAGAGCAAAAATGAACTTTGGGACCTCATCAAGATAAAAAGCTTCTGCACTGAAGAAGAAACAATCAACAAAATTAAAAGGCAGCCAATGAAATGGGAAAAGATATTTGCGAATGACATCTCAGATAAAGAGTTAGTATGCAAAATCTATACAGAACTTAAACAAACTCAACACCCACAGAACAAATAATCTAGTGAAGAAACGGGCAGAAGACATGAATAGACATTTTTCCAAAGAGTTCCAAATGGCTAACAGACACATGAAAAGATGCTCAACATCACTTATCATCAGGGAAATACAAATCAAAACCGCAATGAGATACCTCACACTGGTCACAGCGGCTAAAATTAACAACTCAACAAACAGCAGATACGGCAAGGATGTGGAGAAACGGGAACTCTTTTACATTGTTGGTGGGAATGCAAAGTGGTGCAGCCAGTCTGGAAATCTGTGTGGAGGTCCCTCCAAAAATTAAATATTGAATTACCCTACAATCCAGCTATAGCGCTACTAGGAATTTATCCAAAGGATACAAGAGTGCTGTTTCATAGGGGCACATGTGCCCCAATGCTTATAGGCACAGTATCAACAACAGCCAAATTATAGAAAAAGCCCAAATGTCCATCAACTGATGGATAAAGAAAAAAGTTACACACACACACACACACACACACACACACACACACACAGGAATACTATTCGGCAATGAAAAAGAATGAGATCTTACCATTCACAACAACATGGATGGAACCGGAAGGTGTTATGTTAGTGAAATAAGTCAGTCAGTCAGACAGATATCATGTTTTCACACATATGTGGAAGTTGAGAAACTTAACAGAAGACACACACTCACATAAATATTATATATCTGGTTACAGAGAGGGAAGCAAACCATAAGAGACTCTTAAATACAGAAAATAAACTGAGGTTTGATGGGGGGATGGGGAGAGGGGAAATGGGTGATGGGCATTGAGGAAGGCACTTGGGATGAACATTGGGTGTTTTATGTAAGTGATGAGTCATGGGAATCTACTCCCGAAGCCAAGAGAACACTGTATACACTGTATGTTAGCTAACTTGAAAGTAAATAAACTTAATCAAAACTAAATGGCACTAAAAAAAGTGATCTATTGACACCAGTTATCCAGTTATTCCATTCTTAAGTGAAAAATCAACAGGACAGTATTTCTAATAGACTTACTTCAGTAAAAAAAAAAATTATAGAATCTAGATTGGCATATGGGTGTTCATTTTACAATTCTTTGAATGTTGAAATTTTTCATAAAATTTTGGAAAAAATTGTTTTTAGTTGAATAGGCTATAAATCCAGTTATTCTAGCCACATCTTAAGTACTAGTTGCTACATATAGTAGCTAGGGGCTACCATGCTGAACTACAGATACAGGGCATCTCCATTATCTCAATGAAGTTTACTGGCCAGAACCTTTCTAGAACCTAGCTCAGGAGTACTGGCAAACCTTCTGAGACCAGTTCTTTCCAATAAGGTCATCCTGACTGTCCTGGGACAAGTGAATCATCACTACAAGGACTGCCCTTCTTAAAAAGTGGGACTTCAGATGAAGAAAGAACAATACCAGAGGCATGGTTACTAAGAGAAGTAATGAAAGACCATGTCCATCAGAAAGCCACTGAAGGGACAATAGCCAAATTATAGAAAGAGCCTAAACGTCCATCAACTGATGAATAAAGACGTGGTTTATATATTCAATGTAATACTACTTGGCAATGAGAAAGAATGAAATCTGGCCATTTGCAGCAACATGGATGGAACTAGAGAATATTATGCTGAGTGAAATAAATCAGGCAGAGAAAGACATACCATATGTTTTCACTCATAAGTGGATCTTGAGAAACTTAACAGAAGACCATGGGGAAGGGGAAGGGGTAAAAAAAAAAAGTTATAGAGAGGGAGGCAGGCAAAACCATTAAGAGACTCTTAAATACTGAGAACTGAGGGTTGATGGGGGTAGAGGTGGGGGAGAGGGGAAAGTGGGTGATGGGCACTGAGGAGGACACTTGTTGGGATGAGCACTGGGTGTTGTACGGAAACCAATTTCACAATAAATTATATTAAAAAAAAAAAGAAAGACGTTGAAGGGAAATGAAAATCACAAGTGGAACCTATGCTCATTAGAAATTAAAATTTCTAAATTTAAATGTTCTCAAATTTAATCTTCTCTAAGATCTAATTTTCTCAGTAGAATTTAAAGTTTCTAAATTTAAAATTTCTAAAATTACACACACACGTGTGTGTAAAAGTCTCAATTTTTATAATTTGTCATGCTGAGAACCCATTTAGTTCCTATAGAAACACAAAATATATCGTGAAAGATCTTATTTACAAAATCCACTGTGAAAAAAGGAATAAGGGCAGAATAAAAGATGTGTTTAACTTGGGGTGGGGACTTTCCTCTTATAACTCTTTAGGCAATTATTGATTGTTCTAAAAATATTTCAATTTTAATAACTCCTGAGGGGATTATAATAAATGTAAAAAATCCAGAACTTTCTGTAAATAACTTCTATAGGCACCAAAAAACTAAGTCCCATTAGGTATGGAAGTAATAAAGGAAGATGTGTAATTGCCTTTAAGGGATGACACTCTGGCCCCATGAAAGAACTTCTGCCACAGGTCGTCCTACTAGGATAAGTCTTTATTATCTTAAAGTGAATAAAAAAATGTATCCTTCTGAAAAAAAGAACAAAAACAAAATCAAAAAAACCACTCTCCACCCAGGCTTTGATATGTTTTATTAGAGCAAAATCTCAAGAGAAAGTTGCTTTTATTTACAGAATTTAATATGTGTAAGGACTATCCAAACCACTCGGACCCAAGTGAGAATAACCATTAAGCCTGTTTATGTATTTTCTTATTTTTAGTCAGCATACAAAACAAGTTCCACATTTATAAAAATCCCAATATTGGAAATGACAAACCCATCCCTTAATTAAATATAAAAACAGCGTTAAAAAAAACCATACAATTTAGATTGGTTTAATCTTAAAATGTAATCCAATAAGACTAAAAACTAAACACTTCAGGTCCTGTACCAAGTAGTAAAATACTCGAAGGCCTTCAGGATCCCTAGAATTTAAAAAGGTAAAAGTTACTGTTTTATTCCTAAAATGAAACATGTAATTTTATAAGTTAATTCCTAAAACAAAACAAGAAACTAAACAAAGGAATCTAGGAGAAAGGAAGGATTTGATGCAACTAAAATGAACATAGTGAGGAATTTTCATTTCATTTCTCTATCTTTTCTACCAAAAATATAAATTTTCTTCACCAGTATTCATTTCATATTCAAGTATTCATTTTCTTTTTAAAAATTTTTTTTATGTGTTTTTAAAATTTTTATTTATTTCTGAGAGAGAGAGAGAGACAGCATGAACAAGGGAGGGTCAGAAAGAGAGAGAACGAGAATCTGAAACAGGCTCCAGGCTCTGAGCTAATTGTCAGCACAGAGCCTGATGCGGGGCTCGAGCCCACAAACCGTGAGATCATGACCTGAGACAAAGTCGGACGCTAAATTGCACCCCTCAACTATTCATTTTCTTAGCAAAGTAATAGATTTGTGTAAAGCAGATAAAATGACAAAGATAGAAAAATTAATACTCATAATACTATAAAATGACACTCCTCACAGAAAAACTATAAATATTTTGGCATTTCTCTATTTTCATAACTAAAATCATTCCCTATGCCCTTTTTTCATTTAAAATAAATTTTTAATGTTTGTTTATTTTAGAGAAAGAGAGAGACAGAGAGAGTGCGAGTCGGGGAGGGGCAGAGAGAGACAGGGAGACACAGAAGCTGAAGCAGGCTCCAGGTTCCAAGTTGTCAGCATAGAGCCCGATGCTGGGCTTGAACTCACAAACCATGAGATCATGACCTGAGCAGAAGTCTGATGCTTAATGGACTGAGCCACCCAGGCGCCTCTGTTCCCTGTGCCCTTTTTAAAGCTATGTTTTCCATTACATTAATTCGCAAATGATTTCTAATTCACAATTCTCTTTTTGTTAAGCATTTGGACTTTTCCCCAACTATAAGTAAGCCTTCAATGACCATCTTTATGACTAATAAAGCCTTTTCATTATTTGAGAGTATTTCCCTACCATAGATGCTCAAAAGTGAAATTACGGAGTCAAAGTGAATTCAAAATGCTAGCACCTTCTGATGCACAATCATCAAACTGCTTTCCAAAAAACACTGTATCAATTTAAAATCCCAGTTAGGAATATGAATGCCAGCCACATCCTCACCACTGTGGGAAAAGAAATATGATAGTTTAAAAGTATCTGGTCCGTCTTTATTGTACCCAGTAGTTACTATACATTCCTTCCTTTCTCCTCTCCTTTAACAAATATTTACGGAGCACCTATCTGGTGCCAGGCACTGTGCTAACTTTCGAGGTAGAGCAAGGTTCTCATGGAGTTCACGTTCAAACCAAAAAGCAAAGAAATAAGTTATTACACTTAAGGGTGATAGGAGAAAGAGGACTAAGAAAAAATTTTGAGGGGCAAAGGGAGAAAAGTAACTGCAAAGGCCCAGAGGAAACAAACTCGGAAAGACAGAGGAAGCTAAAGCCATACTTGAGTTATAATGACTTTTTTCAATTTCTTTCAAATATTAAATTCAGCGATGAGAACGATGTGATCATGGATGATGTCATCCACTAGGGATTTCTTTTAAACTCTGTGAAACTATATCCAGATTTTTACCAAAAATAGCTACTATCATTTGGTCCTTAATGTACATAGTTGTCAGATTAACAGTCTTTTGATTATCAGAAAAATATGCTGCTAACCACTTTAACAGCAAGTCTTTAATAACATAAAAGTCAGAATTACATCTGCATAATAAACTGATAGAATGCCACCAAAATAATCTGGCTATTGTTCTAAAATAAGCCTCTCTAATTCTTTATGTCAACTGAGTCCAAATGGCTTTAACATACTCACTTTGACTGATTAACGTCGATAAGAGAACCTATTTTTGATGTGGTAAAAGAAATGTGTTCATCTCCAATTACAATTTCAAGCTCCTGAAAAAACAAAAAAGATTCACATAGTTAACGTAAAACTTCATCTCAGAAGTATCTGCATTCCTGTTACCTACAGGTCCCGATTATAGCTGTGAGTTTTCAAGCAGTCATAGAGGAGAAAACAAGAAAAGACAAAGGAAAAGGAACTTGACCTGTTAGACATAAACTATGTCTGTAAAATAAAAACCTCATTGACTGCTCAGATGTTCCCAATATTAGGATCAACCAAGAACTGCTTTCCAGAGATCTCCTAACGAAGACACCATAAATATGAATGATATACTTAAGAATGACACATGAACATTTCTTATGTGTGTAAAAACTAAAGACATAACTTTGAAGCACAATGTTGTAAAAATAATAACATGGGTATAAATCTATTTTTAAAAAATAAATATGAGCACATTTAACCTTTCTACCAGGCTTTATAAATAAAATGCAGAGTATTAGGAGCACCATGTTAGCATCTACTATGCATGAGGTCCTGCTGCTACAGACTTTACAAACATAATCTGTAATCCTTAAAACACCCTTCTGAGGGTATTTTACAAATGCGAAATACAAGATTCCTATAGCACAGGAAGAAACATCGACATTTACGACCACGAATAAGTGACAGTACTGATATTTGAATCCTGGACTCTTAAGAATGAAAGACTTACACTTGTTTGTCTTTACAGAACATTTAAAATTAAGAACTCGTAAAACAAACACAACATGCTGTAGACTTTCTTAGTTTGCCATAATTATTGTATAAATTTTCCTCTATATTTTATCTGCAAACCTAAAACCAATAATTAAGAGGCTATGTCTGTCATGGTTCATCAAGTTAAATAACAAATGGCATTAAAGACAGTCTCAGCTATATATCTGATCAAAAGTCCCAGGCACACACAATATGGAGAATTACCTAAGGCTCCCAAAAAATCATAAAATCTTTGACTTAAAGATCCAACAGATGCTCTCTAGAACATGCCTAACCCTCCCCACTAACCAAAATAATAAACATGCCATCGAGTAGGTAGATGAAAATACTGGGTTCTCCTGAAAGAGAGATAAAAGGTTTACTCGTGTTGTGTCTGTTTTTCAGCACAAATGTACCTGTTGCATAAAACAAACTGAGATTTAAATGTATTTTTTAAAAGTGTTTACAATGCAGAAAATAGTTAGTGTTAACTATTACCTTGCTTTCCTAAATAATGTTTCTTTAAATAGAAGAGCTAAGTGACTGCTAGAGATGCCAGCATCTATTCCATTTCTCCACATTTTCTTCTAGAAGAAAGTAGTATAAAGTCAAAGATGGTGATATAAAGTGTAATTCTCAGGAATATAAAAAAGTGAAGTGTTTCTTCCTCCAGGAATTGGATCTCATTTCCTTAAGAGTTGAAAAGACCCAATCAAATTTGTCTTTTTACAGACTGAAGTGAAACTTTCAACGTTCTTCAGAAGCCCTCTGAGAAGCATTAATTACTCTAAAGGGAGTATGAGGCAAAAACAATGGTCAGTTTGAACAATGACACCAATCAAATCCTTCTCTTGGGCATAAGGATGCAAACAAGAGTTCTCGAAGTTATAAAGATGAAGAACATAAATTTTATAGTCAATAAGAATCCTGTCATGAATTTAAAACACACTGTACTTATTCCTAATAAAAGTAATACACAACAGAACTTATTCCTAACAGTGTGAAAACATCATAACTTTAACTGGTGAGGCTACAGAGAGGGCTGGTCACAAAGAGGTCTAAATGCAGAGCTATGCATTGCCTCCTTTACTACTCAGAGGTAGCACAGAAAATGAGCCTAAGTGAAATAAAACTAAAGAGTATTTACCAGGTGCCTCCTAAATGGAAAACCAAAGAATCAGTGAGAATCTACTGTAAATAAGAAGAGACATAACAATATAACAATTATGTTACCAATTTTTAACATGCACGCATTTAAAGAACCATTAAGCACCAACCTGTCGGCCCACTCTGTCAGGGGGAGGCCACAGAGCATCATCTTCTTTTGTGATTTCACTGTCATCGATAATTCTCTTCAGCTCTTCCATTACACTCTTGTGCACATAAGCCTGAAAATAAGTTACGATAGAAGTTTCATGGCCATTTCTTCCCACAACTCAGAATGAAACAATAACACGATGTTACCAACACTAAATAGTCAAGAGTATCACAGAAAAATCTCATTCTGACTCCAAAAGTACAAGATGAGAGAGAATCACTCATTTTTCTTCATTCTCTTGCCCTTTCCTTTAATATACACTTGTCTCCAAATAAAAAAAAAAAAAAAAATTTACACTAGCCTCCCCTTAAAAACCCTGGATTCTGACTTTATAACATGGGGCTCAATCACCTGAGTGGTTAATGGGGATAATGGAAAATCTATACAGTGAACAGAGACAAATACAAGCAGACATCTCACAGTTACTGCTCTGAACTTTTTCTTATCCCTCACTTTTGAGCCTTTCCTTTAAATCACACTGTGTTTAGCACCTGGGTAGCTCAGGCCACAATCTCACGAGTTTATGGGTTTGAGCCCCGCATCAGGTTCTCTGCTGTCAGGGCAGAGCCCACTTCGGATCCTGTCTCCCTCTCTCTCTGCACTTCCCCCACCCATGCCCTCTCTCTGGGGCACCTGGGGGGCTCAGTTGGTTAAGCGCCTGATTTCGGCTCAGGTCATGCCCTCATGGTTTGTGAGTTTGAGACATGCATCAGGCTCATTGCTGTCAGCACAGAGCCTGCTTAGGATCCTCTGTCTCCTTCTCTCTCTGCCCCTGCCCTGCTTATTCTCGCTCTTTCTCAAATAAATGAATAAAAATTAAAAAAAACAAAACACACTGTGTTTAAATCTTGACCATCAATTAGTTTTAAATAGTGAATGTGATATAAAGACAAAACAAATTAAATTATATGTTCAAAAGTGGGCCTACAATTTAATATATTCAGATTGCTTCTTTTGAGGTTACACATGCTACAATTATATCTAATTTAAATAGAATCCCTTTTCAATCCATAAAGTGGCTTCTTTATAGTAATACAGCTTTAGATGTAATTTTTTAAATTCAAAAAAGATATGAAGAAAATGGTCTAAATGTAAAAAATTAGACATTCGAAAAGAACTTACCTCCTTTCTGATCATGACATCATTTTTGTAATTGCTGTTGTTGGCATATCTAAGCTTCCCTGTGGGGAGTGGAAATAAATTCAATCTATGACAGTAAAAACTGCTAAAAAAATTCAATCTATAACAGTAAAAACTGCTAACAAAAAAAGAAATGACACTGTAAGCAGTTCTGAAGGTAAAGACCATTTTATACTACCACTTTTTTTTTTTTTACTAATATTTCCACCTTTTTATAAGATCAATGCTAGATTTATATTCAAAAATTTGCTGGAAAAAAATATTTGCATAGCTAAAGTTGAAGCTAGTCATTTTCAAATACCCCATACCTTCAAAAGAATTTTTAAATATTCAACTTAATTTTTAAATATTTCATGCCTTCAATATAATTCAATATAATTAGAGGGTCTTTTTTTCTAAAGTTTATTTATTTATTGGGGGTGGGGGAGCACAAGTTGGGGAGGGGCCGAGAGAGAGAGAATCCCAAACTGATAGCAGAGAGCCCAATATGGACTCCATCCCCAGAACCACAAGATCATGACCTGAGCCAAGATCAAGAGTCGGTCACTTAACCAACTGAGCCACCCAGGCACCCTCGAGGAGGGTCATTTTAAAGGCTCATTTGCTTAAGTTATGTCAAGAAATAGACAGGGAATTGGAAAAAGGAACTAACATTTCTTTTAAAGGCTATGTTATATGTCTTTATTGGTCCTAAGTGATTTACCCAGGGCATTTAATCTAATCAGTAAAAACAACTCTTAAAAGGTTTTACTCTCATCTGTTCACAGTTGAGAAAACAGAGTTAAGTAACTTGCCCAGGGTCACAAAGACTCAGATCTGGATCCACCTTCTTCCAATACTCACGCTCTCCCCACCACTCCAAAAGAGAACATTTGTTCTCTATACAGTACGGCAATGCTAACAGGTTAGCACTGTGACTAGGAGACATATGGTATGTACTGCTTCTAGATAAAAAAGTAGGCCAGTTTGTTAGCTGACCTGTATTTAATTTTAATCCATCGCTGGCTTTTGTACTCCCTGATGCATGCTTCTCCTCAAGGCTGTAGTCCATTTGCTCAGGTACAGATGTAATATGGTCCTGATCTCTGGTAAGTCACCCTAATGAGGTGATCCCCTCTTGCTACTGAAGGAAGTATGTGGAATGGCGGGCTGGCAGACAACTGGATGAGAACCACGGTCTTGGCATGAAATTGCCCCGATGAGATCGGACTGCTGAATTTATGTGACTGGCTAACCATGATATAGGCAAGCTGAAAGTGGTTCACAGGCAAAAACACTAAGATTATCACCGAAAAAAAGAATAGATGGAGCCTTCAGGTAAATTTGGCTCCTTAGCTAAGTTGAGAAGAGGCATGGGGAGAACAAGGGAGAATAACGTGGTTATGGTTTCTAAAATGCATGGTTGTAGTTACCTTAAGTTCTTCCTTAAACGTCTGATTCTCTTCCTCTTCCCTAAAATGTGAGGCTTCTCTACTTTTTAGATAGGCTCCATGCCCAGCGTAAAACCCAACATGGGGTTTAAAATCCTGACCCTGAGATCAAGGCCTAAGCTGGGATCAAGAGTCAAACACTTAACTGACCCAGGCACCCCTTCTCTGCTCTTCCTTCCACTCCCACAGAACTCTGTCCGAAGCATAACACCCCATTTAACATCCACACTGTTTTATGGCGAGTTTCATGTCTATGTTGCCCACCAAGACATAACTCCTTCGGGGAAATTAAAGAGTCTTATTCATTACTGTGTCCGGCAATTTTGGTATTTACTTGTTGCTCAGCATATGACACACATACAAAGAAGGAAAAGTCTACACAGGTGGACTGCCCAGGTTGCAAGGTGTGTTCAATAAACAGTAACAGTCTCTAAAGAGAATCAGGGCTGTGAAAAGACTATGCTGCACCAAACGAAAGCAGGGAGTGCTACCTCACCCTTTGCTCATGCTGTTGGCAGCAGTCTGAATGCTTTTCTCCCTCACAAGCCCAGAAAATCCTATCTCATTTAAATACTCATGTTGGGGCACCTGGGTGGCTCAGTTGGTTAAGTGTCCGACTTCCGCTCAGGTCATGATCTCCTAGTAGTTCATGGCTTCGAGCCCTGCATGGGGCTCTGTACTAATTGCTCAGAGCTTGGAGTCTGCTTTGGAGTCTGTGTCTCCCTCTCTGCCCCTCCCCGCTCTCAAAAATAAATAAATGTTAAAAAATAAAATAAAAATAAAAAAGACTCATCTTGAAAGAGGGCTTTGGCTGCCTTCATTATGAGCCCAAACTTTTTAGGTGGGTTTCTCTTTCCAGACTGTCTCCAGGCTCCTGCAGAAGACCCTAAAGGCAAAGTATCCCCTAATGGGAACCAAAACTACCCCCTCAAGCAACAAGGACTGCCCCAAGCCAGCCAGCAAGACCTCACCTGGGACTGAAGTCCAAGACAACGATCAATTTAAAATTCACCGTCTACCTGCACAGAATTCACCCACCTTTGCCCCGTTTTCCTTACATAAGCCTGGAAGTATCGTTGGCATTTTGGAGACTCTTTGAGAAACTAGTCCACTATCTTCAGCTGCTGGCCTCTCTGAAATAAACTTCCTTGCTTCACCGTCAGTAGATTTTCTACCTTTGGATTTTGTCAATGGTGAGCCTCAAATCTAGTCTGTTTGGGAGCTCCTGTAGCCCTGCGCACCAGATACAATTTCAACTGCTACCTTCGCTAGGAAGCTTTCCTTGGTTCCTCCTACACGTAGCCCTAACCATTCCCCTCTTTTGTACTCTTAACGTATCCTATGGGAAACAACTGTATTTAAGCATCCTAAACACATCATTACATTCATTTTTTAGGTAAAATTTTTAAATGTTTATTTATTTTGAGGGGGGCAGAAAGAGAGAATCCGAAGCAGGCTCCAGGCGCACAGCCGTCCTCACAGAGCCTGTTGCAGAGCTCGAACTCAAGAATCCCGCGAGATCATGACCTGAGCCAGTCAGGCACTTAAGTGACTGGGCCACCCAGGCGCCCCGTTACATTCATTTTTTAACACGTGCCCTCTTCGGAGCAGGTCTCCTTCCTTTTCCTAGACACGTGGCCATGGAGACAGGGCCTGAATGAATACAATGGTTGAATGGGGAGTCCGAAAATTACTGGTCACCGGAAGATCTCCAAGCATCCACGGGACCACCTCAGGATGGGATGTTCTTCAAAATGTTCAAGTACGACGTCAGGTAACCTAGATGTCTTTTAAGGTCCCTTCCGGTGCGCTGAATGCAGGAGTCTGATTACCCCAAGTTTTCAATATCTGGCAGGATTAGATTTTCTTAATTAATTTACAACGATTAATTTCCTTTTATTCGTGGAACCAATTCATGCCTCTGACAGACTTCAGCTTGTATTTATCTCGCCTCTCCCAGTGACCGCCGCCGCCACCGCAGACTTGCAAGCCCACTGATGATGGCTCAGCCCACCCCGCCCCTCCGCTCCGCTCCCCTGCTCACCGTCTGGCCGAAACTCGAACTCCAGAAACTCGTGCCCGAACTTGCCCTTGTGCCCCACGTAGTAGCGCAGGTAGAAGTCGCTGGCCATAGCCATTTTTGCCCCCCGCTAATGCCCGCCCGAGGCCTGGCCAACGTGCCGCCCGGCGCCTGCTAGTGACGTCATCGCCCAGGGTAAACGCGTCACTGGGGGGCGCGCCTTTCTGGTCCCGGGTCGCCGGAGGAAAGCGGGCAGGCGGAGTCTCGCGCGAGAGACTCGCAGTCGCTGGGGCGAGGTGGACTTCGTTTACCAGGGTTGCAGGAATTTTTTTTTTCTTCAAAATTAAGTAGATTGTGTTGCACAAGCAAAACGCAGAAGTGCGAAAATGTGATAGTACTTTTTCTTTTTTTTATGGGCTTAAAATTAAGGTTTGCTTAAAGTCGCTCTTTACTTTCCGGGTCTCTAATTCTCGCGGTACCCTGCTCTCACGAGGGGGGTGTGGCACTCGTTCCCCTGTTGGAAAGAGGAAAGATAACGCCAGAATCGGAATAGTAGACCTGGAATGCTACCCTTTCCTCCAGTTAGAGTCCTTGCCGGAGCTTTCCCTTTTGGACAAGAATTGCTAGTGATCTAGCAGCCAGAAACCTGTAACAGGGATGGAAGTAGAAAGAATCCATGAGACAGAGGTCTGAAATTTGAAAGGCGTACTGAAACTAAAGATCCCTGAAGTCACGGTGTAAAAGAGTCCCTTTTAATAGTAAAACGCGTATCATTCAGTAAAGGTTAATCTTTAGTAGCCTGTGGAGTTTTGGCAATCTGACTTAAGATACAATGGTTTATCCCACGTTTCTTACCAGAAAGAGCTACATTGGGGGTGGGGGGTGAAAGACTGCTCCAATGCAGAATGGGTTTTGAAGAAGGTGGAAAGACAAGATGGACTTTTACACAGTCTACTTTTCAAATATTATTGGTCACCCTGTGTTAACCAACAGAGTAATACTATTGGACGACCTTTAACCTTCAGAGTATTTAAAATAAACAGTGGCACTCAGAAGACCTGGGATTCACTCCATCACTTAACCTCTACTAACCTTGGTTACTTACACTGTCCACACCTGTTTGTTCACCAACTGAATCAATATCCTACAGTCAGCTTTGCTAGACTCAGGAATTGTTGAGAAGATCAAATGAGATAATACTTTAATAATAAGCTTTAAAATGTATAAAAACGGGAGTGCCTGGGTGGCTCAGTCGGTTAAGTATCCAACTGGCTCAGGTCATCATCTTACAGTTCGTGAGTTCGAGCCCCGCATCTGGCTCTTTGCTGACCGCTCAGAGCCTGCAGCCTGCTTCAGATTCTGTGTCTCCCTCTCTGTTACTCACCTGCTTATGCGCTCTCTCTCTCTCTCTCAAAAATAAACAATTAAAAATTTTTTAATTTATAAAAACTATAAATAATTTATAGGAATTTTAACAGGCATTTCTTACGGCCAGAAATGGACAGACACTGATGCCAGAAATAGATGGACACTGGTAACAATGATAGAGCCCTTCACATGTTTAGTCTAGAAAAGCAAGCAAATATGTAGTCAAATATTAACACAAGGAAGCGAATAGTACAAGAATATTTTTAGCCCTTTTGAGGAGGGCGCAGTTGCATCAACAAGGGAGCTTTGGACTTCCTGGCTCAGGTTCCTGACTCACCACTGTTAGCTCTCTCCAAGAAACAGTCGTGAGAAAGCCACACCACAGCCGTGGCTTTAAAAGACACTGGAAAGACACTCCTGGAACCAGAGGTGGCAATTCATCGAATTAGAAGTACTCTAACCAGCTGCGACTTAAAATCTTTGGAGAAAGTGTATGCTGACTTGATCAGAGACACAAAGGGAAAGAATCTCAAAGTGAAAGGATCAGTTCAGATGCCTAGTAGGTGCACTGCAAGAAAAACTCCTTAAGGTGAAGGTTCTAAGACTTGGGATCGTTTTCAGATGAGGATCCACAAGTGACTCTTTGATTTGCACGGTCGTTTTGAGGTTGTTAAACAGATTACTTGCAAGAGTATTGAGCCAAGCGTTAAGGTGAATTGCAGATGCTTAACTCAGTCTTTTTAATAACTTAATTATCAGTTGTTAAAAAAAAGAAAAGAAAGCAAATTTTTAAATGCTGGTAGTACACCAAAAGAAGCAAATGGGGGAAATTGAAGAAAGGGAAGTACCAAGGAAGGCTTGTGATGATGTATGGTTTGAATTAGACCTTGCCGAGGAAGTTCAGTATATGGTCAAAGGGAGGGAAAACATTCAGGGCAGAAAACAGCCTGAACAAAAAAGTCACAATGGTGTGAAAGTGTATGATTCAAGAAGTTCATGCAAGTAGAATGACAGAATGACTAGAAAGGCAGACTGGGCCAGATTATATTGAGTCTGTAATGCTTACATAACTGTCAATATAGAAATCTATGTTAACCCTTGTATGAATGTTAATATAGAAAAATTATTCAGTTCCTAGTATTTGCTGCCATTATGGAAAATGTACAAGAGACGTAAAGCACTGTCCTGTAACACTAAGGCGACTACCTGTTTCGGTTTGCCCAGGACTAGGGTTTCCTGGGATGCAGAACTTTTTGGTTTTAAAGCCTGCAAAGACACAGGCAATCCGGCATCACTTGGTTACTGTACCTACCACAAGAATAACTCACAGAAATCTGACCACAATATTCCATAGTATCTCTGAAAACATAGGCAGTAAGTAATCCATTTGAGTTGTTTTGTTTGTTTGTTGTTTGGTTGCTCTGCAGGGGGCCTCTTCAATATCTTTCTATTCCCTAGGACATATCATTAAATTTTTGGCACACCTGCCAGTGTTCATCTTCCTGCTTAGGTAAAAAACTACAGGTACGAGAACTATGACTATATCAATAGTGCTTGTGAAATGCGGTAGTAAGATCTTTATCTGTAAGCCAATTACTCCTTTTATCCCCTAAAAAGACTTCTGCACTAAAGACTAACACTTTCTAACCCTATCGGTTTTTAAGGTGAAATGTGGAAATATATTTACATAATTCTTTACATATGAAAAAAAATAATCTCTCATATCATTATCTCTTATATCATGATAAGGATTGCAAAGTGGTCTTCTTGGATGGTATACAACAGAGATATGAAAATGTTCGGAGTGGCTTGTGTGCACTTGAAATGTTACCAGTGAGGCTAGGAACTGATTTTCTTCTTTTTAAATATTTCATTTGTAGGAGTTTAAAATAATACTGAAATAGCCACATGTGTCTATTGGCTACCATGTTGGACAGTGAAGTTATATAAGAATGATTTCATACACTTTTATTGGGCTGGAAATATTTTCCAAACATTGAGAAATCTTGATCTCAGTGGCTGGAGGCTTCAAATGAGAGCATTCTTACTAGTATCACCACAGTTCATTTATGAACATAAATGTTTGGCTGCTTAAATGAAGCCAATAAAAGAATTATTTCTGTCTTTGTTAATGTAACTTATCTGTGGTTAGCTTTAAAATACCCTTCTGGGGCACATGTACCCCAATGTTCATAGCAGCACTTTCAACAATAGCCGAATCATGGAAAGAGCCTAAATAGCCATCAACTGACGAATGGATCAGGAAGATGTGGTGTATCTATACAATGGAATCCTACATGGCAATGAGAAAGAATGAAATCCGGCCATTTGTAGCAACGTGGATGGAACTTGAGGGTGTTATGCTGAGTGAAATAAGGCAGGCAGAAAAAGACAGATACCATATGTTTTCACTTCTAGGTGGATCCGGAGAAACTTAATGGAGGACCATGGGGGAAGAGAAGGGGAAAAATAGTTGGGGAGAGGGAGGCAAACCATGAGAGACTCTTGAATACTGAGAACAAACTGAGGGCTGATGGGGTTGAGGGAGAGGGGAAGGGTAGTGATGGGCATGGAGGAGGGCACTTGTGGGGATGAGCACTGGGTGTTATATGGAAACCAACACGACAATAAACTATGAAAGAAAAAAAATACCCTTCAGAAGTAATTAAGAAATACACATTTTATTTCCAACTCCAGATGAAAATAAGCCATAATGATTTAGTCAAATATACAATATTTATTGAAAAAAATGAATTTTAAGTTCACTGCTTTCAGTTTCATGCATTTTTAAGTTTATTGTTTTCAGCTTCATGGTAATGAATCAAGTCAGAGGGCTATGGTCAGAGATGGTTATTTTTTAAGTGTTAATTTCGTCTTTTTAAATTGTTCTACTTTTCCCTGCATCTAAAATTTTCTTCCTTTGATATCTCAAGTTTGCATTGTCCTCACACGTCTTTTGCCTTTTGCCTCACTATTTAAAATTATCAAGTTATTCCTACTTATAATTTTCAGAAATATGTTCTGAGTTTCCTGAGATAAACACTAGAGAGGACAGGTAGTTTCCCCTTTCCTTTCCTTTCTTTTTCTTTTCTCTTCTTTTCTCTTCTTTTCTTTTCTTTATCAGTAGCTTTTGAATAGTTTGCTTCTGTATTTACAGAACAAAACCTCCAGGGCTATTTCCTTCCATTAAATGGATCAGAGTAATAAATCAAGAATATTTTATAATCTTAAACAATAGTCTAAGGTAATTTAACATATTTTTAATGTCAAAATGAGATCGCCTATTCCAACCTTTAGTCCATCCACACACCTTTCTCTTCCCTCTTCTATAATAGCCTTTTCTGTGGAATTTTTACCATAAGGTAGCTTTAATCACTCAGTGGTGTTGCTTTTTTAGTAAGAGACACACCATCCTGCACAAATACCAAAATTTTCACACCATTGTTTCACAGATATGTTCATATGTGGTGAGCACTATTGCTAGATTATTATGACCTGATATATTTAATTCAATTATTCAAATTAATAATTTTTCTAGTGTATGAGAAGAGTATATGCTTCTAACACAAAACACAACCACTAACTCTTATTTCCAAAACAAGTAAAAACAGTCTCTAAATTAAATATAACGGGCTATACTTAAAAACTCCCAGTTTTCCATTGTATTTGCTACTTGTTTAAATGAGTTATGGTAAAGCAAAAATTTAATAAAATTATAGCAAAGTTAAGATTAAGAGGATTCTATCCATTAGTTTACTTTTTCTTTAAAAATGATGAAGAAATTATTCCATTTTTATAACAAAATACCTAAATCTACCATGAAAAACATTAGTGTTCTGCCCTTGCATGATCTGAAATTACTGGTTCAGACTATTCTAAGTTAAACTACATTTTCAACGTTCTATTAGACAGTGTATTCAGGTAGATGTTTGCTTAGTTCCTGGCTATGTTAGAGGCTTTTTTAAGCAATAAAGCATAAATTGGAAAAACAAGATCAGGGAGGGGGAGGGAATCAAAACAATAAAACAAAGCCTAGCCCAGATTCAACATAATTGAGTGGTACATTTTAATATTCTCTTTTCCATTCATTAGCTCCGAAATACCAGGCATATCTGACCAGTCAAAATACCAGAAATATAATCCTCCATTTGGGAAAATTCTGGCCAAGCGAGGGAAAGACCCAGTTTTCTTAGAATAAACAATTACCGTATCCAGTGTTCCAAACCTATATCCAGAAAAACAAAATTATGGATCAAAATTTTAAATAACAATCATCTGCTAATATCCCTCCTACCAGAACATATTTTAACGTGCAGTATGAAAGAGCAGCACCCCCATTCACCATGCACCCTTTCCTTCTAACCTCACTGTGACCCCATCCACTTGCCTATTGCAGTTCCTCCCACAAATTATGCTTTTCCCCCCTTGCCCCAGAGTTTTCACACGTATAGCTCTCTCCTGGATGGCTCCTCTCCTCACTTTTTGTCTGGGTTTAAATACCATTTCTTCAGGTCCTCATTTTACATCCCTTTCTACTATCCTATACCTTTTCCTCATGCACTTCAGCACAGTCTATAACTATACCCACACAAATGTGTGCACGGTCTCCTTCCAGACTGTAATAAAAAGCCCTCTGTTTTTTCCAACATCTAGAACAATGCCTGGCACAGCTGGCCCTAACCCTCACCTTTTTAAAAATATTTGAGTAAATACATCATTATGTTGTGAATTTGACTTAAATAAACAGCCAAGAAACAACGAGATTCTATGGGACTTTATCATTTTGTGCCAAGCCACTCTACCTACCTTCTCACTATTGCAACCTAACACCCATTTAAATCCTGAGAAGTGGTTGTGGTATTCCTACAGATGCAAGAATCATTACTCAGTTGAATGACTCATCATGACTCCATCCGGATTCCAACTTCTACAAAATTTTCAACTGCCAGTCATCTTTCCTATGGCAGCCTTAGATGTCCCTCCCAGAGCACCCAGAATAGTCTTTAAAATCACAGATCACATGTTCAAACAAATTGTCATCATCATGATATTTTCAGTATTTCATCATCCAGAGGCTCACACAAAAATGATGACCTCATTATTTTAGTCATGTGGGACTTGTACCATACCATCCTTTTAAAAAATGTTATTTAACATTTATTTATTTTTTTTGAAAGACAGAGAGAGACAGAGTGTGAGAGGGGGCGAGGGAGAGAGAGGGAGACTCAGAATCCAAAGCAGGCCCCAGGCTCTGAGCTGTCAGCATGGAGCCTAATGTGGGGCTTGAACCCACAAACCGTGAGATCATGACCTGAGCCAAAGTCAGACACTTAACCGACTGAGCCACCCGAGCGCCCCTGTACCATACCACCTTTAAGCATGTCCTGCCTTGTAGTATGACTGGCAGACTGAAGTTCTCTTTTTTGGCTACAGCAGATTTTAAATGAAAAAGATATGGGTAGGAAGGGAAAAAATAAGGAAGCTACCATTTAGTGAGCACATATGTGCTATATATTGTCCAAATATATATATATATATATATATATATATATATATATATATATTCTCATTCGGTCCTCACAACAACCCTGTGAGGTAGGTATTATCCCCATTTACACATGAGGAATCAGTGTTCCGGCAATGAAGATTATCTCTTGAATTTTTCTGCTAACATTAATTTCCATTTATTTACTTTTATGCTCCCTATTGTAGAGATTTAGGCAGCTGTATGCTAGAAAATCCTATTTTTACTCAATAAATATTAATTTAATGAAGTTTCACAGTACATCAATGAATGATTGAAAATCAGAAACTACCATCCTTCTGTCTCAGATGACATCCTTTTCTAACCCTTTTAAAAGTCCTTTTGGACATTTCCTACTATTAAATACTTAGTACAGGTGACCCTTGAACAACACAGGGATTAAGTGCGCCGACACTTGCACAGTCAAAAATCTGTCTATAACTTTGGATTCCGAAACTTAACTAGTAATAGCCAGCAGTTGACCAGAAGCCTTACCAAGAACATAAACAGTTGATTAACACATATTTTGTATGTTCTATGTATTATATACCATAGTCTTACAATAAATAAGCTAGAAAAAAGGAAATGTTAAAATTATAAGGAAGAGAAAATACATTTACAGTGTTGCACTGCATTTATCAAGAAAAAAAGTCTATGTGTGAGTGGACCCACCCAGTTCAAACCCGTCCCGTTCAAGGGTCAACTGCATGTTCATCGCCAGCCCAGTGGACTCTCTAGGCTCAGTCTCCCTAGTCTTATGGGGACCAGGAAGCTTGTCTGATGAACAGTAGATGTTGAATGTCCTTAATCATGAAAGGACCCCTCCAGTTTCAAGTTCAAAGCGGTTCCAGCAAGTTCCCTTGCCTCATAGTTAGATAAAAGGAGACCATTTTTCTCCTATCTATACCCAAAGGGAAGCTCGGACGTTTTCCTTCATGGTCCTCCTCCAGTCCTGCATGAATGGACCAGGATTGAAGAACTTTATCTCCTTCCTGCACCACCTCTTTGAAGGATGACCTTGGTCCGTATCTATGCTCTTTAATTTTTTCTCATCAACTTCTCTGTCAGCTTTCTGTTCCCTCAGTTGCTTGCAACTCCTCTGGACCCTATAATAAGTTAGGAAAAAGCATGCTTCAAGAGGAAACCAGCCTGTGGTGGGAGGGCCAGCCTATGTGTGCAATTCCAGACAAACACTGTAGACTTCTAAAACGTTCTTTGCAATGATACTATCCACCACGTCTACCCTGGGCCTTCAGGGCTGAGACAGCAGAGATGAAACTGTACTTCTCAGTCTCCGTGGCAGGTGGTGCGTAGAGCCTCATCTAGCATCACTTCAGGCATCTAGGGAAATGTGCAGGGGAAGGTCCTGTTTCTGCCTTTATGTCCCACTAGAAAGCTATTCTCTGTTCTTGGAGGAGTTCATCCCAATCGGATACGATCACCCATAAATGTTTCCTGCCCAAGGATCTTCAAAGGATGCTGTAGCTGTAGGAGAGGTTCTCCATGCTGACACCTGCCACGGCTGCATACAACTCAGGCACCACCAACTCAGGTACTTGCAACACAGCTTTGTCGTCTGCAGTTCGAGTGGCAGTTTCTAGGCGTTCGTGTAGCTCTTTGAGTGAGGGGCGGCTCTCCTCACTCCAGCGCCAGCAGGACTTCATAAGGTTATACCTGAAAGGGGAGCAAGAGAAACTGACTTCCTTGACAAGGCAAATATTTGAGGAGCGCATCTCTTCTAATGAACCTTAACAACACCACCAACAACACAATTCTCTTTCATCTACTTCTCATTGTCCTCTCCGATTCTTCCCAGAGAATAATATTCCTTCTTATCCTCCTCGTCCTAAATCTCTTAATATCATCTTCTCATCAGGGCCCTTTTTATAATAGGAATAACTGGGGGCACCTGAGTGGCTCAGTCGGTTAGGCGTCTGGTTTTTGGTTTCTGCTCAGGTCGTGATCTTGCGGTTCGTGGGTTCGAGCCCTGCATCGGGCTCCATGCCAACAGTGCGGAGCCTGCTTGGGATTCTGCTTCTCTCCCCCTCTGTCTCTGCCCCTCCCCTGCTTGTTCTCTCTGTCTCTCAAAATAAATAAATAAACTTCAAAAAAATTTATAATAGGAGTGACTGAGGATTTCTCCAACTGGAATCCGTCTGACACAGCAGTTGTTTTCATTCTATTGCCAAAACATCTGACAAGTTAAGAGTTCTCATCTTTAGATGTTACTAACTTGTAGCATTCCAGACCATTTCTATAAGGTGTTTCCCAATAAAAGCCACACACTACAGCCAGGAAAATAAGAAATAGAAGAAGAAGAATAAAATAAAAAGAAGAATATCATTCATATTATTTTGAATAATCTAGTTAATTAGCTATTTCCTTTTATTAATCCAGGCCATTTCCCTCCTTCGTTATTTAGCTTCTCCAGGAAATTGCCTTCAACTAGATAAAAGTACTTATCACCTTTAAGCTGTCTTTTCTTCAATCCAGTTTACAAAGACTTAATAATATCTGTTATCAAACACTTTTTTCATGTCTCATCCCTCTCAAGAACGTACAGTAGTTTGCATGTAAAGCCGACATCCTCCCTGCTAGCTTCTCTACCTCAGTAAACCCTCTCCTCCAGCCAAGGCAGTGTTTTGCAATGCCTTAGATGTGGTTTTTTTTTTAATGTTTATTTATTTTTGAGAGACAGATACAACATGAGTGGGGGAGGGGTGGAGATAAAGGGCGACACAGAGTCTGAAGCAGGCTCCAGGCTCTGAGCTGTCTGGGGCTCAGACTCACGGACTGTGAGATCACGACCTGAGCCGAAGTCAGACACTCAACTGACTGAGACACCTAGGCGCCCCAGATGTGGTTTTTAACACCCAACACTGTCTTTGCTCATGCCATGCCCAATTCCTTGAATACCCTCTCTATGGCCATCATTTCCCACAGTCTTGTTTTAGATCTCAGTTCTTCTGTGCAACCTTCCCTTAAAAACCTCAGCCCACACTGTGTCTCCCACATCCTTACTGCTGTACAGTGGAAAAGATGCTAATTTAATAACACTGATAACATTTAGCAAGAACTTGTTTATTTTATAAGACATGGTAGTGGAACATAGCATGCATTATTTTATTTCAGCCTCACAATAACACTGAGGTAGGAGGATCATTATACCTATTTCAGGAAAAGTAAACAATGTTCAGTAAAGTAGCAGAACTAGGAGTGAACATGTATCTTTTGGACTCTTGACCTGAGTCTGAACTTTCCATCATTCTTTGATATCGCCTCCCACTTTATGTCGATTTTCATGTTGCTTTAGGTATCTCCTCATCCAAATACTAAATTCTTTGAGATCAGATACTTTACTGGTTCATTGTCGCCCCCACCCCAATATAATGGACAGTTTTTTACACAGAGAAAAAGCCTACAAGAAATAGTTTTCAATAATCATTCCAGTATACCCAGGCAGTATTATTATACTATATATATATATACATGTGTGTGCATATATATGTGTATAAATAAATATATATATATATATAGTTATGATATTTAACACTTATAATCTGCTGGATACAGTAACTGTTTATTGGTGGGAAAGTCAGGTGGTGGAAATTTACCCTTTCAGTGCTGAAAAACTTATAAATAGCAATAATTTTTTTAGCAATTTATATTAACATATTCTCCTGTGACTTCTTATAAATATTTTAACCTTTTCTTATATTCTTTAACAACTCCTTTTTGTACTTTATTGGTTATGAAATTCTGTGTGTAATTGTTAATTTTTCCACTTTCTGCCTCTGCATTGGCTCACCGGCTGTCCCTTTCAGCTGACATTATTGGATATTCCTCCCACCTTTCTAACTGCTTCCTACCCTCCTTCTTCTGTTTGGCTTCTAATTTGCTCAGAATTGGAAAAAATAGAGAGCCCATATTTTTTAAAAGTTAAATCCTAGTGAGAGCCAGTGAGTAACTCTAGAGCTATATTGGAACCGAGGCTGGCAGTCTCTGACTGATACTGACATTTAGACAAACAAAACACCACTATATTTGCATTGGATTTGGTCCACTTCTTACTTATTTTAGAAGCTTCTGAAAGAACTAAACTTTACCAACTTAGATTCCTAATATAGTTCTCAGCAGTTGCCTCAACAATTGTATGTGTGTGTGTATGCAGATACACACACATATACATACATATATATAAATATATATATGATAGATGAGCAGGTGTATTTTACTGCATAGGTATGCCTAAGGCTGTAAATTAGCACCCAAAAGACAGACAGGGATCAACTGAGCCACTTTAAAAGGGCAAGATTGGGGCGCCTGGATGGCTCAGTCAGTTAAGCATCTGAATACGGCTCAGGTCATGATCTCACGGCTCATGGGTTCGAGCCCTGCGTCAGGCTCTGTGCTGACAGCTAGCTCAGAGCCTGAAGCCTGTTTCAGATTCTGTATCTCCCTCTCTCTCTCTGACCCTCCCCTGCTTGCTTGCTCGCTCTCTCTCTCTCTCTCTCTCTCAGAAATAAATAAAATATTAAAAAAATTAAAAGGGCAAGATTGATGGGGATCAAAAAGGCATTGTAATGAGAGGAGAGTAGGTCCTAAAAGCACTTACATGGTATGTGTGCAACTACTTGGTTTCTTCATAATTTTCCTTCTTTGGAGATATTGTAGGATGCTGGTAGGAGGAACTTCGGGATATGGCGGTGCCCCTGTGGGTATGGAAAAAAATGAGAGCAGCAAGCGAACCTTAGGTTGTCTAGAATACCAACTATAACATGAGACTTCATCTGCCGGGGCTAACTGCCTGTAAAAGGCGGAGCCAAAGGGAAAATACTAGAGACAATATAGGTGCTCCCTGGTGATCAAGTAAGGACATAGCTTAGAGAGGCTAGGGGGCAAAAGAGGTGTTTGGGAGGAAGAACCCTGGAAATTTAGGAAAATGTTGAGTCTTTATGAAAGTAACAAGCAAAGTGAGAAATGAGACGTGCCTTCCACTCCCCAAACATGAGGAAATACTGTTTTCTCAATCAAATGGATTAATAAATCTCAGGGAAATATATTTATGTTTATACAAAACCACCCTTGGAATTATTCTTTGGGCTTTAAAATATTGCTTTGGAATTGGTAAATTGTTGAAGAAAAGAAAGCAAAGGAGGAGGAGGAGAAAGCTAAAAGGAAGGGGATTTCATGTCAGCCCAGTTCAAACCTCAGAGATTACAGGGAAACTTCTTCGCATAGAATATGCCACCCCTACTCAAATAAACATACTCCTATATTTGCATACAGGGACATACTACTTTAGGGATCCTCCTTACCTAAAGTCACCATCTCATAAAGCAGGATCCCAAAGGACCAGCTGTGAAAGAAACAAAGCCATTAACTTAATATCTGTTTCTGCCTTTCCTAAAGAGAGCTCATTTAAAGTCTCAGAGGTCTTCAGTAAGAACCCTATAAAGAGGGCAATGAAGGGGAAATAAAGGGCGTCTGATAACATAAGCAAAGTAATTAAAAAGCATTGCTTCTCAATCCCCTGCAAGTCTAATCTCTTTGTGGACTGGATTCATGTCTCCTTTCTTCTACACTTCACATTAATAGATGCTTATTATTATTTCCTAACTTGTGTGTGTGTTTATGCAAACACACAAACACATCGACCCAAACAAAAAGGAATTAGCCTTTGCATCCTTTTCATCCTTTCCATTTCTTCCTTCTGAAATTCTAGCCTTTATTCTTAGCACAAATCCCAGGGAGGCTTATCTTTTATCTACTATTTCCTCAATAGCTCTAACTGCCCAAACCTAGGAAACATATTAACAGAGCAAGCATTACACATAAAGGGGATAGATATTTGTCAGAGCAATATAATTTGAGAGATGTATATTTCACTATTCTATAACATCATCATTAAACAAGCAATGTTGCCCAGTTAAACTTTTACTCCCAGACCTCTGTGGAAAAGCAAGATGTGAGTGAAGCAGCAAAGTCTCTTATATTAACTGATGTTCTAAATTTACTCTGCTCCTCACGACATTCAGGCTAATAAGATATTCTATATTACCTCTCTGTGCTTCTCCAAGCTGCTGAATTATATGGTTACCAAAAACCAATCATGATTCTTTACAATATTGTCTATGCCATTATATGTATCAATGTCATTATGTAATCAATTAGATATATAAATGCAAAAAAAATGCATTAGCTCCTGAAAACTAGGTTGGATGCTTTGAAAGTATTCTATAAAACTAAGGTGCTAAAAAGAAAGTGTTGTCCAATTGTGTGGGAGAGACAACAGTAGGAAATTGGAAAAAACAATAATAAATGTCTGCAGTCAAATTGCTTCACAATTTTTTTTCAAATTTCTCACTCAGAATCATCCCAAGCTAAACTCAAAACTAATGTATTATGAGTGCTATTTACACAAGAAATACAATGTATAACTTCATTTAGCAGGTCCATCCTCATTAAAAAAAAAAAAAAAAAAGCCTTGGCCCTCCCCTAAAAGAAGAATCGATAAATACGTATTTATATGTTTTAAGCCAAAATAAATTATTGAAGTATGTGTATTTCTTTTTATTTTAATAATTAGTAGCTTAACAACTTTTGATTACGTGGACCCACCTCCTTCAGATAAAAGGGACTTTACTAGATTAAGTCCTTGGATATTGGTATGAATAATCTTCATTTTTCTTTTCTCTTTCCTAATTTTGGCTGCTAATCTAATACAGAAGGAATATTTTAAAAGGCACTTAAAAGGACTGTAGCCAGATGCCAAATATAAGCCCTGTCACAAAACACACATTTCTCCTTGAGAGTCTATCTGACTTCTAAGTAGAGATTTCACATGTAGACATAATTGACCACAGACACAGTCACGGTCAGGAACTGGAGGACACCTAGGTCAAGAAGAAAAGAGGTCTGGGATGCTTGGGTGGCTCTGACTCTTGATTTCAGCTAAGGTCATGATCTCACGGTTCATGAGATCAAGCCCTGCATCGGGCTCTGTACTGACAGCAGAGAGCCTGCTTGGGATTCTCTCTCCCTCTCTGTCTGCCCTTCCCCCTATCACGCTCCATCTCTCTCTTTTTCTCTCCCCAAAGGAAAGAAATAAACGTTGAAGAAGAAGAAGAAGGGGGAGGAGGAGGAGGAGGAGGAGGAGGAGGAGGAGGAGGAAGAGGAGGAGGAGGGAAGAAGTCCAAAGGGCAGGAGCAAATCGTACACATCTCCTCTGATGCCAGCTGGTCTCAGCAGAAGCCGCTCTGGGGCGAGCCACTTGAGAGGTATGGAGTAAGTAGCCGGAATGGCCCCACGGGTATGGACTTCATAAGCCAGGCCCAAACCACAGAGCTTAGCAGTAAGGTCACACTGGATCAGGATATTCCTGGCGGCCACATCCCCATGGAACAGATGCTTATCCTGGAGAAATTCCTGTCAGCATAAGAAAGATGCATCAGCTGTCCAAGGTCATGGCTCAAGTCACAGACAAGGAGAAGCGGCCCCAGGAATCCTCAAAAAGACAAGGACCTTTTTTTAGGGCACCTGGGTGGCTCAGTCGGTTGAGCGTCCGACTTCAGCTCAGGTCATGATCTCACGGTTTGTGGGTTCGAGCCCTGCGTCTGGCTCTGTGCTGACAGCTCAGAGCCTGGAGACTGTCTTCGGATTCTGTGTCTCCCTCTCTCTCTGACCCTCCCCTGTTAATGCTGTTTCTATCTTTCTCTCAAAAATAAATAAAATATTAAAAAAAAAAAAAGACAAGGACTTTTTCAACTCTGAACATGCCTCGTTGACAATGACATAGCACTTCCAAGTTATGATAATGAATTGCACAGTTTTGCACAATGTGTTTAGCATGACCACACTGAACAAATAATCCGGATAGCTTTAATAGGGTTTGGAAGGTACGATCACCCACTCTGAGTCAAGCTCTAATTCCTGCCCGATTTTACATTCCTCAAAGATAGGACCCACCTACATACTGGAAAAGGAAGCAGGTCTCAAGCTTCTGCAACGATCGCCCAAACAAGGTAATATATACACAGTGAAACTGAGTGCTGTTCTAATGAAGTTATACAGAGCTTTATATCCACTCATTTTGTCCCCAAAATAACTAAGTCAGGGGAGTCAGGGAAGTATTTTTGAGAGAAAATTGATTACATAAGGCCACACTGTTTTGAGTGGTAGTGACCAGAACCAGGTACTCTAATTCATAGGAAGTACCACAAATTCTACTAATAATTCTCAAGCCAGGCTGCAGATAAGGATGGCCTGAGAGCTTTTGAAAAACATGCACCTTTCACACCAATGGTAATTAACCAAAATCTAGGAAGAGGAACCCGGTGATCTCTACTTTTAAGAAGTGTTACAAGGATTCTAGCACAGCTAACAAAACGTTTAAAAACCATCGCACCTGTATGACGTTGATTTGCTGCAATCCTTTCCCCCGACATCAGGCTATTCAAGAAATAAGAGGTTGAAAAGCTATATATGACTGAAGAGCTAGAGATTGAGGTCTATGACTGCTAAACAAGAATGACGTAAAAAAAAAACCCAAACAAACAAACAAACAAACTGAGTGGCTCAGTCAGTTAAGCATCTGACTTTGGCTCCAGTCATGATCTCACAGTTCATGGGTTCAAGCCCCACATCGGGCTCTGAGCTGACAGCTCAGAGCCTGGAGCCTGCTTCCGATTCTGTGTCTCCCTCGCTGTCTGCGCCTCCCCCACTCATGCTCTGTTTCTCTCTGTCTCAAAAATAAATTTAAAAACATAAAAAAAAATTTAAAAATAAGTAAAGAATGTCATGACTTTGTGGTTGTTAAAAGTAAGAAAAAAGATAGTATGATATTGCCTTGTAACTGATAATCTAGAAGCCTGGTCAACAGATCCCTGTGGGGCATTGCCACAATTGTGGCTCAGAATACAAGGCACGCTGTATCCTGACACCCAGACTTTCTCTAGGGGATGTGCCAATGAGGCCCTCCAAACACTGTAGACAATATTCACTTATACATTTATACTACTGCTCTTTCTCACCTCACTCCTTTTCTAAGCTTTCTGAAATTCCATTTACATCCCTGGTACATTTCATACCTCAAGGAGGTAAAATATACCAAATATTTAAACTAGTAGCCTCACAGACCCTGATTTTCTATAGCAAATGCTAATGTTAAACACAATTATCTAAATAACTTCGTCGAAATTGTCATCTAAATTTCCTGGTTAGTTCTGACAAAGGTACATCTTTTTCCTCTTAAATCCTGTGTTGTTTCTCTTACTTCTAAGTTGGTTTAAAATGAAGGAATGATCTCACTGTTGCCCCTTCTTATTTCTCCTCTCCCACTATTCCTTGTTCTTCCTGAAGTATATATATTTCCTATCACAGTCGATATCAAAACAAGTCTCCAACAAAACGTGTTCTGAACTAGTCTTTCTTGTTTCTCAGGTACAAAATTAAATTGCACACTTCCTCATAGCTCTGCAGCCTTTCACTCATTTGGTTTCTCTTCCCGTGTCTCCTCCCAACTTGCTTATTATTTGCCATTTTACATCTCTTAATATTAGCATGTATGAGAAAGTAAGAGTAGAAAGCATATAACTCTTGGCCCTGATTTTTGACGTTCAAGACTGAGAAACCTTTGAAAACACTTCCTGTTCCTTCTACAAACCCCAAGTTGACTACTTTCTGCCCAGAATTACCCATCTTATAGTATATTATCTAAATAATTTCATAAAGAAAGAAGTGAAAACAATTTATCAGTGCTTAAGTTTCTGCTCCCTACTTCTATTTGATTTTCTTTATAATATGTACCCCGTTTGGAAATATAAATATTAGAAATATGATGTCAAATACCAGGCTAACAGGAAAAATCTATGCCACTTGTCATTTTGCCCAGCCTTACCAAAGCCTGGAGGACCTGCCTTCCAATGTGATATACTTGTTTTTCTGTGAGATCATAGAGAAGGCCATCCATGGTCATCACATCCTAAAAGGACAGAGATAAAAGCATTATAGCAAAGTTACATGAACAGATTTGAAAAAATAAAATAGGGGCAGAGATATTCTTTTCCTTTAAAGTTTTTATTTAAAGTTTAGTCAGTTAGCATATAGGGAAATATTGGTTTCAGGTACAGAATTCAGTGATCCATCACCCACATATAACACCCAGTGCTCATTATAACAAGTGCCCTTCTTAAAACTCATCACCCATCGAGCCCATTGTCTCCCCTCCAGCAACCCTCAGTTTGTTCTCTATAGTTAAGAAGCTCTTATGGTTTGCTTCCCTCTCTTATCCCCCTCTTCCCCTATGTTCATCTGTTTTGTTTCTTAAATTCCACATGTGAGTAAAATCATATGGTACGTGTGTTTCTCTGACTGACTTATTTCACTGAGCATAATATGCTCTAGCTCCCTCTATATCATTGCAAATGGCAAGATTTCATTCCTTTTGATGGCTGAGTGATATTTCTTTGCATGCACCACATCTTTTTTATCCATTCATCAGTCAATGGACATTTGGGCTCTCTCCATCATTTGGCTATTGTTAACAATGCTACTGTAAACATCGGGGTGCATGTGCCCCTTTGAATCAGTGTTTTTGTATCTTTTGGGTAAATGCTTAGTCATGCAATTGCTGGATTGTAGGGTAGTTTTATTTTTAACTTTTTGAGGAACCTCCACACTGTTTTCCAGAGCGGCTGCATCAGTTTGCATTCTCACCAACAGTGCAAGAGAGTTCCCCTTTCTCCACATCCTTACCAACACCTGTTGTTTCCTGTGCTGTTAACTTTAGTCATTCTGACAGGTATGAGGTGGTATCTCATGGGCTTCATGTATTTTCCTGAGGATAAGTGGCATTGAGCATCTTTTCATGTGTCTGTTAGCCATTTGCATGTCTTTGGAAAAATGTCTGGTCATGTTTTTTGTCCACTTCTTAACTATATTATTTATTTTGTGGGTGTTGAATTTAATAAGCAGAGATATTCTTAAATGCAGGTATCAAAGCTAAAGAAAAGGCATAAAAACATAGGGACTAAGACTCAAAGAGAGGCTAATATGAGAGATTCTTAGATATGCAGAGAAGTACAATGATTTACTGGCCTGGAAAAACAAAGCAGAATGTAGATGAATCACAGAATGAAGGAAGAACAAAATAGCAGGGAAGAAAGACTATCCCCTGGATAAAGAAACAATTTTTCTGGGATAGTGTGTGTGTGTGTGTGTGTGTGTGTGTGCGTGTGTCTGTGTGTGTGTGAGAGAGAGAGAGAATTAAGCACATTAATTCGACACATCATCATCGAATGCCTAATATGCACCATGTTTCATCTTAGGAACTCAGAACACAAACGTAAGCAAAATAAATATGTCTGCTGCCTTCCAGATCGTACAATGTGACAAACACGTGTGAATCATAACCAAATAATCATGCATAAATATATGCACCATGAAAGACATGGAAAATAGCACATGATGGTGACAAAAAAAGATCTGAAGGATGAGTGGACAATGACTATGCAAAAAAGGGGAGGGAGGAGTTTGGTGTAATGAGAAAAGCATGTGCCAATGCTCTAAAATAGAGATGCATAATCATTTTGAAAATAGAAAGAAGCTAGTGAGGTTAGAGCAGTGAACAAGTTACAGATGTAAAACCTGTTAAAAAGATTTAAATGCCTAAGGACTTGTACATTACCCTGTTTGAACCCCGTTTGGATGGAAACAATGTCCCTTTATCATACACATTTAGTAGTAAAATAATTAGTCTATTAAGGAGGCTTGGTTAATATTGAACTTGTCCATTGGTAAGTGAGGAACTAACTAGAAAAGCGCAGCACTTCAGAAAGATGAATGTATAGAGAAGTAGGAAAATTGTAAAGGAAAGGACTTGCATTTTAGTCTGGAAATTTCTGAACATTTAAAAAAAATTTAATATGAATTTAAAGTACAAAAACTTTCAAGCCAAATTATCCTCATTCACCGTGGCATACTAGAGCAATATTACAGAATAGAAGACCCACTTAAGGCTAACAGCAATAAAATTATAAGCAGTACTAACAGTTTTCACATGCATAATTTCTGTTAATTTTATTAATAACTTATTATTATTCCCATTTTACAGATTCAGAAAATTCAGGCTCAGAGAGGAGATCTGCCCACCTGCTAGTAAGAGGTAAAGCCTAGAGTTCGTATTCTAATCTGCAGTGCCCAATATGGTAGCCATTAGCCGCATGTGGCTATTTAAAAGTTGATTATTTAAAATTAAATAAAATTAGCAATTCAGTTTCTCAGTCACATCAGCCACATTGCAAGTACTCCATAGCCACATGTGATTGATGGCTACCATTTTGGACAGAGCAGATACAGAACATTTCTATCTTCATAAATAGTTCCATTGGATGGTGATACTCAGTCATTCTGCTATGTTATTATAGCCCCTATATTAAAGCCTCTCTGCTTTGTCATTTGACAAGCCAATTGGCATGTGAACAGCTAATCAGCCAGCTCAAGGCTTTCCTTCCTAACACCTCTACCCTACTGCTTACCCGCCGGCAGGTCCAGAGAAAGCTGAGCAGGTCTCCTTGGGTCACATCCTCCAACACCATATAGAGCGGCAGTCCTTCTGTGCAGCAGCCTTCCAGCTGCACCAGGTTCTTGTGCTTCCCCAAGTACTGATAGAATTGGATTCGCCCCAAGAAATCCTGCACCTCATGGAGCCCAGCTGGTTCTGTGGAGGACAGGAGGGCCGTGGGAAGTGAGCAATCAAAACATCACCAACAAAACGGGAGGTATGAGGGAGGAAACCACCTCAGATGGTAATTTTCAAAGCTCCAAAGGAGAGTAAGTATAGACAAAGAGTAAACAGAAAGGGAACTAACTAGAAGATAATCCTCAATGTCACTGATTTTTTGTCAAAGCTAAGATAAAATCATAGGTTTTAGAACTGGATAGGCTTTCATCTGCCTAAATAGACAAGTGTTCACATTCAAATATGATCACTGCCCAGACCTTTTGATCAGTACTCTTGCTTATCCTATCCTTGTTACCCTTCTTATTCTGCCCACAGTGGTGATCCCAGCTATCTGTTGGTTACCGTCTTCATGTCTTCAAGCTTGTCAGCATTCACTGCTGGGGCCTCACAGTGGAAAAATGAACAAGGGGAAGAGAAGTCAACCACTTCTCCTTTTACCTTTCAAAGCCTTGATGACAACACTCTTTGGCTTAGCAGGGTCCCCGGTGTACATCTTGGTTCGATAGATGGCTCCATAACTCCCACTGTGGATCTGCTCCAGAACATCATAGAATCGCTCCCGGGGCACTTGCAGCTTAGCCAGAGCACGAGTCATAGTTTGTAGGAGGCTTTCTACCGATCTCTCTTTGAGTGGCACAAACACGCTTCCACCATGACTTGCTACCTCCAAGCTTAAGCCCCTAGATGGAGGCACAGCGACAACACCTAGAACAAAGAGATGATACCAACCATTGGTTCCCTACCCTAGGGACTCCAGGAGAACAGAGCACGGAACAAACTGGAAAGGAAGTTCCTTTAGCCATTGGGAAGGATCTGCCCAATGGGAGGATAACTTCCGATGCTTCTCTGAGAACCGGCATGAATACCAGCCTTTCTACAATATTTGTAATATTTCTAAGACAACTCAAGATGGACCTCTGGAAAGTGGTAACGACATTTCCTTTCTGCCTTTCTCAGGATTATAGTTCAGTATAAGTATAGTATGGAGACAATTAAGGAAGTTCCTCAGTAGGTGCTTTACCCCCAGATACTTACAGGTAGTAGTAGCTACCAGTAGGGGCTATTGCTCAAGTTGATCAAATGACTTTTAAAGGTGGAGAGGAGAGTCTGGATAACTACTTAACTCCAAGCCATGGTGATTCTTCTTCCCTTAAGATGTTCCCAAAGTTAATTATTGCATATTCCTTATGGTCTCAGTAAAAAAAAATCTTCTGGTATTTTCCCCTTTTCTTAGTCCACATTTCTCCATTGGAAAAGAGAAATTCATTCTTCTCATTAAATCTCCATTCATTCATTCCATCTATTTGACAAATATCGCATCCTTCATGCCAGGCACTATTCTAGGTATCGGGACTAGTTAGTCCAGATTCTTATGATTACTCTCTCATGGTAGGAAAAAGGAAGCAGATAATAACAAACCAGGTGCTGAGTGTTATGGAAGGAAAAGAGCAGAATCAGAAACATCAGTGATGCTATTTTACATGTCAAGGTCAGGAAAGGGCTTTCTGATAAGATGACATTTGAGAAATGCCTGGAAGCGATTATGAGAGCAAACCATTCTGGTATCAGGACGGATATTATAGACAGAGGGATCAGGAAGAGCAAAGGCACTGGAGAAGAAGCATACTTGGCATACTTAAGGAAGAGAAATGAAGTTAGTACAGCTGGAACTATATGAGATAATTGGAGAATTATACGAGACAAAGCCCCGAGGTCATGGAAGGTTATTGAAAGAATTTTCTCTTTTTTTAATTCTAAAAAAAAAAATTCTTTTTTGTTTCAAGGAGAGAATGGTCAGGACTGACTTAGGCCTTAAAAGAATAATTCTGCTGTCCTGTGGAGAACAGTCCGTAAAGGGATAGAGGCAGAAGTAGAGAATCCAGTTAAGAGTGTATTACAAGGATTTATGAGAGGTGAGAGCTGCTTCAGTTTGTTCGGAAGGTAGAATTGACAAGATTGGCTAATGCATTGGAAATGGAATGTAAGAGAGAGAGGAGTCAAGGATATCTTCAAGATTTTAGACTGAACACATAGAAGACAAGGCTTGCCACTTGCTGGTAGAGAAGACCATGGGGGGACCATTGTAAGGGAATTTCAGGACCTTTGTTCTGGGCATATTACACAGAAGATGTGTATTGGATCCAAACTACAAAATTGGTGGTTTAATATAGGAATCTGGAGTTCAAGGGGGACTACAATCAGAATAGAGAAAGTGTTTGAATCCATAAGACTGAAAATGAGACCATTTAGGAAGTGACTATAGATTTAAAAGGAGAAACGAAGTGTTTCTAGAAGGAGAAGGTACAAAACTGTGTCAAATGCTTTTGACAGGTCAAGACGAGGACTCAATATAGCTGTCAGTGGTGATCTTGGAAATGGTTGTTGGGTCGAGTGGTGGGGATAAAAGCACTAGAGAATGTGACAAGTAGAAGTCATCAGAATGAGTTTAGACAACTTATTTGAGAAGTTTTTCTGAAAGTGAATTCAAAGAGAACGGGATAAAATGTAGAGAGGGATTGGGGATCAGTCACTATACAATTCCTGATCACTCTCAGGAATTTCTTTTCCTTCTTTTCACTCTTAGTTTCATGCGAGCTAATTCTCTTTCATTATATGCTCAGTGGTACTTCAGCACAAGACATCATCTCCTACTTAACAGTTCAAAGACTGTGATGAAGGCTACCCCTCTTTATCACATAGTCCAGGAGTCCAGAGCAGGCCTGGGATGTATTACAGACTAAAATGTCATCCTTCAAGGCTGGTAACAAAGCCTTGGGCTTTACCCACTAATCGTCCTTCCCAATATGCAGACACTCCCATGGCCAAATATTTGATAGTACAATAGGGAAATTAGAGAGAAACAGGTCCCATGAGGCCTCCCTTGCCTACTGTAGTTTCAACTACCAAGCACCTATTGAGTTTCTTCTCATGAGTTCTTAGAGAAGAGCTCACCTCCCTTCAACTCCACAAGAGGGGCCCCATACCTCCTCTCGCATAGCAAGGACCTCACCTTCTAGACTTGGGCTCACTGACACTTGGGTCTTACTTTCTGTAATCTCCATCTTCCCCAAGCCTCTCCCCATTGCCACTTTGAGTTTTACCTCGGAGTCCAAGAGACTGTTGTTGGGCTCTTTGTCCTCTGATAAAAAGCCACAGGATGACTGCAAGAAGGACGAGGAAGGCGCCAACCAGAATGGTTGGGATGATGATGATCTCATACTGCTGCTCACGGACAACTGGGGAGGTAATCAAGTAGGGCGAGAAGAGATTGAAAAAGAACCCCAATGTGATAGTTCACACAACTTCCCCTACCCACCAGTCCTCAGCTCCTCATACACGAAATGGCCAGCTCTTCCTTCTTCCCCTCTACTTGCGTACAAGGGAACCACTACCGGGAAGCAGCTCTCCAATCAGAAACCCCAGTGTCCCTGCTTCTCAGCCTATCAAGCATGCTCTGTGTCTCAACTCCCGGTGTTCCTGCTGAGCTGAAGGAGGCAACATCTGGATCTCTTGGCACTTGCCCCTCTTCAAAGACAATGACCTGGGGGCCTGGGTGGCTTTGTCAGTTAAGTGTCCAAATCTTGATTTCGGCCCAGGTCATGATCTCACCGTTCCTGAGATTGAGCCCTGCATCAGGCTCTGTGCCGACAGTGCAGAGCCTGCTTGGGATTCTCTCCCTCTCTCTCTGCCCCTCCCCAGCTCTCTCTCTCTCTCTCAATCAAAACAAATAAATAAGCATTAAATAAAAGACAATGAGCTCTAGTGCCTTTCCTTTATCAACACCATCTTCATTTCTACTAGAAATCGTCTCATCCTCCTTCTGGAATCTATGCAGACCTTCATCACTGTCATCCTAGAATCAGAAGATAGGCATCCGTGGTGTCTGTCCTTACCACACAGCTTGTCACTGAGACTGCATTCCAGTAGCGTTCGTGCCATGACCTTCTCATCTCAGCCACACAGCTGTCCACCGCTATGCTTGACCCTCAGAGAATGCACAGGGCACCACTGAGAAGAATTCCCAAGGACTGAGTTGTTCTGAAAAAAATTAAGTGGAGCATAGAGAGTTTTAAGACACCTCTACAGATCATGAGGTTATTAAGTACATGACTACCTGGAACTTTCTGAATCATCCATGCATCTTATCCATCTCCCTGACACTCAAATGTGAAGAACCTTGTTTTTTCCTGGCATTTTTCTCTTTTCTATTATACAGGAAGTATAGCCCAGATCTGGCCTTATCCTTTCATGCCATTATTTCTCAAATTATTTCAAAGGCTTCGCTCCTACCCAAGACCGCTGCTCCAATGCTCGAGTCCATAGTACCTGTCTGAGCAATTGTGGTCCATGGGTAATATGGGAATGATCTACCTCCCCTATGATCCCAAGCAGGTTCGGGTGCCCTGGTGGCTCAGTCAGTTAAACGTCCAACTCTTGATTTTGGCTCAGGTCATGATCTCTCTGTTTGTGACATGGAGCCCACCGTCAGGCCCTGTGCTGACAGTGCAACACCTGCTTGGGGGTCTCTCCTCTCTCTCTCTCCCCCTCACCCCACTCTCTCTCTCTCTCTCTCTTTCTCTCTCAAAATAAATAAATAACATTTTTTAAAAAATCCTAAGCAGGTTTAATTTTTTTTGTGTGTTACAATTATATTTTAACTGGACCTTCCCGTGCCCATTATATATAGACAGACACAGGCATTTATCCTTACAAGTATATAAATTAAAGGGATTGTTGCGAGCAAGCCATCTTCTTTCTCTCTCTTAAACTATATATTTATGTAAATATAAATGATGATCTCATATATATTTATATATAATATGTATTCACTCATATATAGTTACATATATAGTTCAAAAATAATAAATTAAAGTGATTTACCATAAATAGCTTTCTCCCACCCCATTATTCTTCACTTATCCCGTTCCCAATTCCCTTTCAAGTAACTGTAGTTCTTAGTTTCTTGCTCACTGGGCCAGAGATGCTTTATGAACATCACTTTTAATTCTCTATGATCAGCATATATTTAAAATTACACCTCCAAGGGCATCTTAGCGGCTTAGTTGGTTAAGTTTCTGACTTCGGCTCAGGTCATGATCTCACAGTCTGTGGGTTCAAGTCCCGCTTTGGGCTCTGTGCTGACAGCTCAGGGCCTGGAGCCTGCTTCAGATTCTGTGTCTCCCTCTCTCTCTGCCCCTCCCTTGCTCGTGCTCTGTCTCTCAAAAATAAATAAACATTAAAAACTTTAATAAAAAAATAAAAATAAAAATAAAATAAAATCACACCTCCAAAAACTTGGTTCTTTCTTTCTGAAGAGAATCGGTGGTTGGTTACCACTCTCTCATATACATCTACACATTTGATTTTGCCTTTGGTTAACAAGGGTCTCCCCTGGTTCTAATCAATTCTGACTGACCTGGAAAAAAAAAAATGGTGTGTTTTTTTCACCCTCTAGGTGATCCTAAGTATATGAAATAGTTTTGTAGTGATCTGATAACAAGGTAAAATTTTACAAATCAGAACTGTGGCTTATAGGATATTATCCCATATGGTACATATGTGCTATTCACCATATTAGCTTGTCCTCTATTACATTACATGTTGTGTTTTATTGTTGATCCTAAAAACCACAATGTGACTTATGGAGGCAGAGTCTCTTAGTGCCTGAAACACGTACAAAGAGACCTTCCAGTTCCAGCCATACCCTCTTTTCACTATCCTTATATGAGGAGATGCGAGTTAAACCATTTTCTTTACAACCCAGAAGAAAGACAGGTGTGTGGATTGTTGATAGAAGCCCGAGTAAACAGAGGAGTAGCCAGGAAAAAAATAGCACAGAAGAGAGGCACCTTCTTATCTGTGGGCTTATACATAACAGAGGATCTATGAAGTCAATGATTTATAAGATAACAAAATCCATCTTATCTAGTTTATGAGCCAAAAGGCAAGGTGAAAGGGGGTGGAGAAAGTTTCCACAATTCCACAAGCCCACATGGAAGGAAAAGCCCTGAGATATGGCAAGAATCAGAGAGCCCTGGGGCACCTGAGTGGCTGAGTCGGTTAAGGGCCCGACTTCAGCTCAGGTCATGATCTCACAGTTCATGGGTTCGAGCCCCACTCAGAGCCCGGAGCCTGCTTCTGATTCTGTGTCTCCCTGTTTCCCTGACCCACTCCCACTCGTGCTCTCTCTCTCTCTCTCTCTCAAATAAATAAACATTTAAAAAAAATTTTTTTTTTAAATCAGAGAGCCTCGAGAGGGTGGAGAAGGAGAAGATCTTAAATAATAAAACGTTGGCCCAGTCAGGTGAATTCAAAAGCTGTTTGAAAATTTCTCACTGCCGTTCTCATTCTTGTTTTCCTTTCCTCTTACTTCCCTTTCAGCGCATTATCAGATGTAATTGTGTTCATCCAGGGAGCAGCCAGTCTAACGAGTTTGGCTCTCTGGGGAAGGTTCTGTGAGCATAATCTCTCTTAACCACAGGACCAGTATGAAAAAGTCAGGCAGCAGCCAGCCACAACTTGCGAGCTCCGCCCAGAAACCAAACCACACACCCACTAATACAGACTGAAGGAAGAAAGGTAAAGGCCTGTGTGCACATGTATCCTCACTTAGAACTGCTCAAGGTGGGCCAGACTCAACTATAGATGCATGGTCAAACATACCCACGCGCAGTGACTCAAATCCATGCCTATACCCAGGCACCTACATATCATACTTATTACAGGGCACAGTGTGGTCATTTGGATACAATATGGCCTCCTATTGCATTTCCTGAAGAAGGGTCATTTGTGTTAGTTTCATCTGCACATGGATACTTTAAAGAAGCTAGGTTTGGGGCGCCTGGGTGGCTAGTCAGTTAAGCATCCGTCAGACTTAGGCTCATGTCATGATCTCATGGTCTGTGAGTTCGAGCCCCACCTCAGGCTCAGAGCCTGGAACCTGCTTCAGATTCCGTGTCTCCCTCTCTCTCTGCCCCTCCCCTACTCGTGCTCTGACTCTCTCTCTCAAAAAAAAAAAAAAAATTAAAATTAAAAAAAATTATTTTAGAAAAATAAAGAAATATAAAGAAGCCAGGTTCATTAACAACTAGAAGACCAATGTAATCAGATGCTGGAGCAAGGAAACGGCCCATGTATAGGGTTGTGGGGAGGCCCACTCAGTAGATTGTTTTCCAGTTGTTTGCACGGTAAGCTCTTTCCAATTACTCTAGTTTGGCTAGAGACATAATGGAATACACCACACGAGTCTAGAATTTTTAAGGTATACGCACCAAGCATACCTACCCACATAGGCGTGGAAGCCTACACAAGAAACCTTCCCGCTTGGAGACTTCCAAAGCATTTCTATCAGAAGATGCATATATTCGCCTGTAGCAATAATATTCCTCTCTACATCACTCTCTTCTCTGCAGTTAATAGTCAATTACCCGATGACCCTGCCTGCCCAGGGTGCCAACCTGAGAAAACCCACTCCTTGATGCCCACACCTTCTAGGATGACTCTTCCTGTTGGTTAGATTGTAACCTATCTATTGGAAGAATGTTCCTGACTAACATTTCTGTGCAATATGACCAATACTCTATCCCCTTCTATGACATCGAGACTGTTTTCTCATCGTGTTAAGAAAAAAATATGCAGAGGTGCCTGGCCGGCTCAGTCACTAGAGTGTGAGACTCTTGATCTCAGGGCTGTGAGTTCGAGCCCCATGTGGGTGTAGAGATTACTAAAAAATAAAAGCTTCAAGGGGGGCCTGGGTGGGTCAGTCAGTTAAGCATCCAACTTTTGATTTCAGCACAGGTCACGAGCTCACAGTTCATGAGATTCTCTCTCTGTCTCTCCCCTGCTCACTCACACTCTCTCTCTCTCAAAATAAATTTTTAAAAAATCATCACAAAGAAAAAAACTTGTATTGGCTATTGTTTCTCCTCTTACCTAGACTGTAAACTCTTTTTTTAATTATAGTTTATTGTCAAGTTGGTTTCCATATAACACCCAGTGCTCATCCCAACAAGTGCCCTTCTTACACATATGAAACTTTACCCCACAGTTCTCTCCTGTGTACTATGTATTCCTAGATTTTACTGGATTCAAGCCATTGGAATCAAGGACCTGAGAAAGTTGTGAAATTGTTTATTCTGTTAATTCTATTAGATGATTAGAAAATATGTACATAGCCTGCCTATAGTTTACACATGCCCATATCTACAATGCCAAATCCCCTCAGGCAGGCCTTTATTTAAAACAACACTATTGCTTCACTTGTGGTTATCATTCTTTATTTTCTCTCTTCTCAGTTGCTTCCTTCTGTCGGCATATTGGAAAGTGTAGCTCCCTTCTTGAATTGAGAACCCAGAGGAGGAAATAGCACAATGAAGAAAGAGAATACAATAGGAAGAAGATGAGTGTGAGATGGGGAGCAAAGTGAAGCTCAGATCTTTGCAAGATTATAGTCTGGAGCCTAGAGGAGTGAATGATTATAACTGAAATGAGGCTATTTAACATAAACTCTCCAACACCTTACTCATAGGCACGAGGCAAGCATAACGCCAGTCACATCTCTTGTCTGTTTCACTACACACAAAGACAGTTCTATTTCCAAGAATAACGCGACCCCTACGAGCGCCCCTTGGGTCCAGTGAGCACAATAGTCTTTGAGATATAATCAGCAATGTACTCAGGGGTGTCCAGAAGAAACTCATCTTACTAAAATATATCTACAAATAGAACTTTAAAAATCAGATCCATTCTCCTCTACTCCACCTGCCTAAGCATTGTGAGAAATCCTTTGACTGATCTCCCTATAACCTCTGGTCCCCTTCCCGTAAGATACGGTTAAATGTTACACCAGCCTCCACCCTCGACCTTACCACCTGTGGATCAACACAAGTGGGCCTGCCAGCTGTGTTTGCTCTATGAAGACAAGTGACCCACCCACCCAGATGGATGCCACGCTGGGTACGGGAGTTATTAATAGCTATGGGCTGTGGGGCAGAGGACTCAAAGACTTTGGGTGAGGAGGGTAAAACATATGGAGGTAA